TTTGATCTATTTTATGAATTAATGAGGCCATTTTTGGCCGAGCGATCACTTCTTGCCCCCACGAGGGAATGGAACTAGGAAGTATCTGCATTAGCAAAATAGCCTATTGAATGACCATGTTTATTCAGTTACTTTGTTTGTGTCCTCTAGGCCTCACTATCAAGCTGATCGGGCCACGCGAATTAAGAAACTGGCGTCAGTTTTTCGTGCGTCTGTCCTGTTATTGATAATGAATTTCGTCATAACATTGTCAAAGAAGCTGTGGATCCACACTGGGAGTTGAAGAGTTGCGTCCTTGAGGGAAGGGTTAATAGGTGGAACGTAAAATCTGTTGTAGGAAACACTATATTCCTTAACAGGTTCTCTACAAGTTATCGTTCATAAATGTTAGAATCTTTATTTGCAATTATTTTCTGACTGTAACCGTTGATAATTTCACACTCATCTATAGACAAATTCGTAAGACCGTTTCAATTTTTTTTCTTTACGACTGTTCAGGTGTTCAGGGTGGAGTGGGGTTAATTAGAGAGGGAAGCTAATTACAAGATTTACAGTAACATACAGCACAGGAAACATTGCATGTAATAAAGTAATCATGTTAACTTTATTTTATGAAAACTTTGCTGCAGCACGGTTTCACAAGAGCCAGTCATGCTCGAAAGCAACCTGCAATTAGTAAGCGCCACTGGAAGTGTAACGCTGGTATGATAAGTCAGCATAAATGGTTCAAGCTATCAAGTGCAAAATTGGGTTAAACCGGCACCCTACCTTAAAAGAACTAGCTAGTCACGCAATGCTAAGTTGAGAGGGGAGTTGCGTGACGATCTTTATATTGGTTTCGAAGGATAGGGTGACGCTTCGAAGAATGCGTCAAGAGATGATCCTGAATCTTTCGACATAAACTTAAGTCATAGTTGGTTATAATGGTACATAACGATTCTTAATCATTTCAGCCCTGATGTCAGCAAAAAAATTTCTCGTTGTTGGCTCCTACACAGTGGCAGAACATGTCTTATATTTATATCCAATAAATAAAAATGTACTTTAATTTATCTTTAACGATCAAGTCCAAAATTGAGACAAATTCAGGGTTCGTGACTTTAAGTATGATCAGCTACGTTGTTCTTCCAACCTACATGCTGACTATGTAACATCATTCTTCAGGAGAAATTCTACCCTGGTCGTAATGTAACCTGAAGATCTGAACACGTCTTCTCCTTGAGACAAACTTGTTATGACTTGCTAAACACTTTTTGCCGGAGCGCTCGAGTCCGACCCCACTGGTTCATCTCTTTCGCCGAGTTTAGCTTCCAGTTTATCAAATTCCGTTTTACTTATTTCATCTACCTCATCTTCTACCTGTATGAAGGAGAAAAAGAAGGGAAACATTGTAATACTCCTTTTAGACAATCAAAATATAACAAATAACAGTTTGTGGACTGAAAGGAATAAGACGACAGTGTATATAATACTTTTCTGCAAAACTCCTCGAGCGACTATCTCTACCAACGCGGTCAACGGAATCCCCGTAGGAGAGTCTTCATTTTTTTCCCCCATCAACCGAGGGAAGCGGGGTGGGGCGTGGGGGACGCAACTTCCATCAAATTCCGTGACCGCCCAAAATAGCCTATTTTACAGTCGAGTCCCTGGTGAACAAGCCTTTGTAGGAAAGTGAGCCTCTTGTTGGCTTTGATGGGATACAAACCTTAGTAGTGTTCATCAAATGTTAACTATAATGTTATCATGCTAACTGTTTTTAACTATCTGTCATCACAAGGTCAGCTCTAGCTCCTTGCTTTCAAGCAGAGACTCGGTTGAGTCGTTGATAGCCCATGGGGTTTACAGTCAAACTAGACGAAGCTAGCTGAATTCTCTTTCTTCAAAATCCCTCGCCTCCTAGGCAGGCGCAACCTCGTTCCCAGGATCTCTCTTCTTCCCACCCCGTGGAGCAAAAGACCCTGATAACGAGGTTGACGCAGACGCCCTTTTGATCTCGTCACGCAATCTTTCCTCTCTCACGTTTGTTGGGGGAGGAGTACGTGACGAGTCATAAGAACGTCTGCGTTGGAGGCTGTACCACTGACACTTCTCCCGATTCTATCAACGAAAACGTTTGAAGTCTACGTTCTAAGATTCTTTCGTGCTCTTAAAACTTCCTTCGTGCATCATAACTGGATAAAGCAATTGTTATTTACGAGCGGTACATCTGTTTGGGACGTCACATAACAGTTCTTCCCAAGAATTGCGTGACGACCCAGTAAGGGCTACAGAGCCTCGAGACTTGGGCCCCGTCCACACTAGGCCGGAGGAATTTGAAAACGGAGGTTTCACTCTGAAAACGCATCAAATGTTTTCCGTCCACACTAGGCCGGAGAAATTTGAGAACGGAGGTTTCACTCTGAAAACGCATCAAATGTTTTCCGTCCACACTAGGCCGGAGGAATTCGAAAACGGAGGTTTCACTCTGAAAACGCATCAAATGTTTTCCGTCCACACTACGCCGGAGAAATTTGAGAACGGAGGTTTCACTCTGAAAACGCATCAAATGTTTTCCGTCCACACTAGGCCGGAGGAATTCGAAAACGGAGGTTTCACTCTGAAAACGCATCAAATGTTTTCCGTCCACACTACGCCGGAAAAATCCAGTGAAGACGCAACTGTCACCGGTCTTTTTGGATTTGTGTTTGAGGAAGACTTGGGCAGATTAATCACATGACTATTGTGATGTCATCGTTTTCGAAAAGTTCCGTTTTCAAATTTTTTTCCGTTTACACTAAAAAGCAAGGCCGGGGTTTTCAAATTCCCCCGGTTTGAAGAGCGTTTCGAAAAGTTCCGTTTTCGTGACGAATTAGTGTGGACGATAGGCCTAACTGGAGAAATAAAGCTGCGTTGTGAAATTTCTTTGGCGAAGAAGTGTGGATGGGGCCTTAAACACTGTTTTAAGTACAAACATGCGCAATGAATAGATCAACGTTTACCTCTTCAACAGCAACCACTTCAGGGATATAAAACTGCATCATGTTTTCAATGCCACTCTTTAGAGTTACAATCGAACTTGGGCAACTAGAGCAAGCACCCTGCAAGGTAACAGGGCAAACATAGTAATATGTAATCTCAGTAATTTCAGGTTCCCCTCTCCCCATCCCCAAATCCCGGGGAAATCGAACGCATTTCTCTACTGTCAGTCGGTATCTTTCTGACTTGTTTTGGTCTCATTTAGACTTAACTAAACGCGAGTCCAAACAAGAAGGCCTTCTAGGCCCCTAGCTTGACAGCTAATGTGTAGACTAAATAGAAGTTATAATTTTACCTACAAAGACGAATTCGGATACAATTTGCGTTTGAGCAATTTTCATTTGAATGCCGTAAGTACCACAAAGGAGAGAAACAATCCTGTAGATGAACTGATGAAAAATTCTTGCAGTCGTGAAGTACGGAAAAACGCGCACGATATTCACGTGCGATTGGTTTTGGTTTAGCTTCTGATTGGTTGAAAAAGTGGCAAAGCTTGGCGCGTTTTTTTGAAAGCCAATCACTCGGCGTAGAAATACAAAACCAAAGCAAACACGAATGGCCCGTTCCCGAGTTACCTTGGGCCTCTGTTTCAAAACGGGTCTTCGTTCAAAACCTTTCATATGAAAATGAGTTTGCATGAAAATGAACCGGTTGTTGAAACTCATTTTCATTTGAATGGTTTCGTATGAAGCCTCGTTTTGACATAGAGGTAAAAGACAACTAGGAAATGGCCTATTACTTTCGTCA